GGGGGGGGGGGGGGTACTCTTATTTTTTGCATGCCTTAGCGGCTTGACCATTGACCACGCGTCCTCAAGAGGACGGAGCATTGTTCCCACAGGAACGATCACCGATGGCCAATCGTCCCTTCCTACTTCGCCAAAGGTGGCACAAAACATCGTCTCTAATATAGTCCATCTATCCTATCGATATACATAACTTCCCGCCTTTTCAACCCACTTCCTATGCCCCAGAACAGCTACCGTCTTCTCCTGGCTATTCCATGCCTGCATCTCCCCGTACCTTCCTTCTATGGAGGAGGGGGGGGTACTCATGTTTGCATGCCTTGGCGGCTATACCATTGACCACGCGTACTCCAGAACCGGGGGTCGACGAAGCAGACCAACCCAAACGATATTGGGGGCGGCCGATTCCGCCGCCTTCCTTTTCGTGCTCTCCGGGGGTGATTTTTTTCCTTCCGTATTTTCACAAGCCCAACTTCGGGGGGCACGAAAAAACAGATTGTCAACCGCTACATACCTCCCCGACAAACAAAGATTAAAAGCACGGTGCAAGCACGGAAACGCGTACCAGACACATGATGCGAGCAGCACACGCAGGCGCATAGCGGAAAGAAAGCAAACAAGGTTTGAGGATGCCTACGCTCGGCAGGGTATACAGGATAAGGTGTACACACCTGTAGGAGCGACAGGAAGTCTTCAGCCGATGTTCTCCTCGAACCCATCAACGATAAGTAGTGCTGCGGGACGACCTGCATTGTGCTGCTGCCGCTGCTGCTAGCCGTTCGCTCCTGGCGATGCATACAAGCAAGGCGCGCGAGCGGGGGGGGGGGGGGAAGCTAGTTGTTTGCTTGTCCCCAAGATTTGCGGGATATATCTTTCGTCGTAGCACCACGATGCAGTGACAGGGAGATTATGACAGCCGCATTTTGTAGCACCTCAACAAGTGTTGACGGGGAGTGTGGTTTAGGCAAGGTAAGGTCTGTGCGTTCCTACGGTAGCTATCCTGCCCCGCCCGACGAGGTCTGCTGCAAGCGGGGCCGGCGCAAAAACATCACGCTGCGCCTCTCGATGGATCCATCGCAAGACTCTCCTAAGACATACAACACGCTTAAAAGTCAGTACCTCCAGCGCTAAGGGATTGCCCACCGCCCAGTACATGCTGCTGCTGAAGCTGGTGCATGCTCTCCACCTTGACAAGGAAAAGGACGATCAGCAGAGCAGACGCAGCAGCCAACGAACGAACGACAGCACGTATTGGTTGGCGGGAGGACGGGGTTCAGTTGGATGCAACAGCGAATCCACGCCTGCCATCTCATGTTCGTGCACTACTTTAGATAGATATGATTCGAACTCTACATCCTTCTTCTGTTCTACTGGTGTACCGTCCAAAAGCGTCGCAGGAAGCACATGAAAAGAATCCAAGGCCCGAACCCCCCCCCCCTCGTTCCGCGCAACGGGGGATGATCGCACCACGTTGTGTTAAAATGGCCAAGCATCCTCGAGGCACTTACACAGTGCTTACAACTGTCTCTGGAAGTGAAAGCACCAGAAAATAAATTAAGTCATACGCAGCTGTCATCCGTCCGCAAGGAAGCAAGCACAGGATGCCGAACACCCTTAGCAGGATGCAGCTCACCCTTCATGCGACTCGCCGAATACCTCACGGCGCTTCGCGCTTGGTGATGTGAGAGCCAGGTCCGGTGAGAACCCGGCGTGCTCCGTCCCGGCTTTGTAGGGATGCGAGGTCAATGGTCAAACGACTACGGCATGCACGACTATGAGTACACCCCCCCCCCCCCAAACCCCCGGGGGGGGGCCCCCAACGGGGGCCTTTCCCAAAAAAAAAACTTCCCGTTTCCTTTCC